GCTATTTGTTATAAAGTTTTGTAATAAATATAACTTAATGTTTGTCAAAAACCAGTGAAGTATTCGATTACCTTTATTCGATATCTTTGTATCTGTCATACACATCGTTATTGTGTTAAAATGAATTTTATTTTGCTAGTGTAGAACGCAGCATATAAATCTTAGTGGCTGGTTTATGTTTTTCATAATCGACACAGAAAAACCTCGATTTATTAAATTGGAGGTAAATGCAAATAATTAGAAGCAATTAGAATACCTTTTTTAGTCAAAGCTTAAATAATATTTTTTTTAGTCAAAGCTTAAAATAATAATTCAGTCGTTCAAAATTCTTAAAACTACTATATTTCTTTCATTTAAAATTTAAAAAAAAAATGTTTAAACTTATAGTGTGTATTGGTGTAAAGAACGAGCAGGTCTATCCTCTGTATAATTATTTACAGTATAAGTTTGCAAAACAAGTAAAGAATTAATGATGAAAACAAAGTCATATCTGGAATATATATTGTTATCATTTTTATGGAACGATACATTCATTGCAAGAAAATAATGCATTTTTGGACGTGGTTCTTGGACGCGACACAACATTGACATATGGTAGACATTTTTGCCAAGTTATTTGAAAATCCTTCAATGCATGACAAAGTTACAGTCCGGACATGATCGTGTATTTTCAAACTCTTCTCGAGAGAATGTGTACATTCAAATTAAAAGTGTGACCTTGACCTTCAAGGTAGGGACAGGGGTCTTGAGCGCGACATGTCTTCTTAATGGGGTTGACATTCATGCATAGTTATTATTTTCAATGCATGACAAAGTTACAGTTCGGACACGAAGGTGTGAATCTATTACCTATAATTGTGATAACGTGAACTTCAAAATGGTAGTGTGACTTTAACCTTACAGATAGCTACGTGCTTCTTAGACGCGACACATCGTCTTGATGTTGTTGACATTTATGCAAAGTTATTCTAAAATGCTTTGATGCATGACAAAGTTACACTCCGGAAATGAATGTGTGTACCTATTAACTGTGGTAATGTGAAACTTCAAAATGTGTTACCTTGACCTTTGAGATAGAAATATCATGTTTTTAAAAACCTCAAAAACACATCATACACAGTTTGTAAACCCGTAAATTAAAGTAATTTCAATCACGAAAATCTCAACAAAACGAACATTTTAAACATGTAGTTCATTTCTAGCAATTTTCCCTGATATGAACCAGCTTTGGTAAGGAGTTTTTCTATATGAAACAAGCAATTATCATAGTATTGCAAGCAATCCATAAGTCCCCAACCGGTTAGAACCCCATCAACATTTTGAAGGGCCATTGGCCATTCACTAATGTTTCAATTTTGCTCTATTTTAAGTAAATTTGTTCGAAAAGTTCTTTAAAAGTGATCACAGGAAACGGTTTTTATGAACAGACAGACAGACGGACTGAAGGACACTTTAAAGTTAATATTTAAAACATCCCTGTTACCAAAATATAATATTTTTAAAATCAAATTTCTTAAAGAGGAGATAACTCTTGAATTAAAGATGCAATTTCATAAGAATTTTCAGCTCTTTTTGACTAATCACAAATATTGTTATATTTGCCATGTTATGTTAAGCCTATTTGTTACCAAGGCCACCAATATTTTTTCAAAATAGGAAGAAAAGATAAGAAATGCATAATCTCCAGACTTCCGTTTATCCATATGTCATGTTTTATAGATATATTTCCAGTACTTTTTGAGTTATCACTGGATTCGGTGTATGTGTAAAATTTGCCATATTTTCAGTCTATGTGATGCCATAGCAACCAGAATATTCAACTTAGGAAGAAAAGAAAAAGACGTGCATAATCTCTAGACCGCCATCTACCCATATTACAAGTTTCATAAAAATATTTCTATTACTTTTTGCGTTAACACTGGCTTCAGTTTATGTGTAAAATTTGCCATATTTTCAGCCTATTTGTTGCCATAGCAACCAGAATATTCAACATAGGAAGAAAAAAAAGACGTGAATAATTTCAAGACTGCCATCTACCCATATTTCAAGTTTCATTAAAATATTTCCAGTACTTTTTGCGTTATCACTGGATCCAGTTTATGTGTAAAATTTGCCATATTTTCAGCCTATTTGTTGCCATAGCAACCAGAATTTTCAACATAGGAAACAAAAAGACGTGCATAATCTCCATACTGCCATCTATCCATATATCAAGTTTAATAAAAATATTTTCAGTACTTTTCAAGTTATCGCTGGATCCAGTTTTGTGGACGGACGGACTGACAAACAGACGGACGGACAGACAGACGGACGGAGGGTAAACATAAAGTCCCCTCCGGTAAACCGGTAGGGGACTAATAAAACATTAAACATAAAGAGGTGACATAATCTTATTTCAAAACGTTTTGTTAAAAGTTTAAGAAAATATCATAGCGTTTCTTAATCCGTCAGTTATATTCATAACATCCATGCAGAAGAACTTGAAAATTTGACCAGAACGATGAACTAAGAACTTAGATATATTTCTGCAAAATGCCCAATTCGTTTGATGTGCCAAGGTAGTTTGACGTTATCAATGCAGGCAGGTTGTTGCTGTTTGATACTTCCATTCCGAAAGAACTAATAATCGCAAAGCACACCGATTATCTCGGCGAAGATTTAACTCAAAATGTCCTTTCTTTGTGTGGCACGTAAATGGTTACGACAAGCAAAAGTCATACGGATTCTGCATTCATGGAGCGATCGACGGGTACAGTCGAAGCATTTAATGTCTCGAAGTATCAAACAGCAACAACTCGTCCGCATTAGCATCGTCATACTACCTTGACCCATTAAACGAATTAAAGTGACCAACTGATGTGATTTTAACCTAGTAGAAATGGAACCACGGAAGTATTGACCGCTGATGCAAAGTGTCCATAATTTTAAATGTAGAATAGACACACAATTCGATATATTTTGATCTATTAGTTTGATGCTATACCAGACATTTCTCATAAACAGTTTTCTTGAAAGAGTTCAATAGGTACATCAACAATATTCCTTGCATCATTTAGCACGATAGGCCACGAGTGAAATATGAACTTTTGGTGTTCACAAGGTGAAATATATTTCGATCTTACACTGAACTAAACAAATTCTCTTTTAATTATATGCAAAGAAACGTTTCGAAAAGACATAAAACCTAATACTGAATGAAAAGCGCGCCAAATAATAAAACAACGTGACGTCATTTACGACGTCACGTCATTAAATTGGTACCCAGTACTGTGCACGCTGGTATTTCACTGAAACGACGTGAGGGGCTTAAATTCAAAACAGTGAAATTATCAAAGTGGTAATTTCACTGTTTCAAACAGTGAAATTACCAGATTTATATCACTGATATATTTCTATAAACAACCGAAAAGCATGTTATAAAATATATTTAATAATATAATTAATATAATAATAAATTAAATAATCAATAATATAATTCAAAATTAACAATTATGAATTCCAACACGAAACCCAATTGCTTGTTTATTGTATATCATTGTAAATGCTCCACAATCATCTGAAAAAAGTCAAGATACAATATTAACGATACGTTTAATACCTGTCAAAAGCTTTCTGTTATTTGACGATAGCACTTGAACAAGCTCCTCGGTTTCGTTACAATGAAGCCGTTTAAGTGGTCCATAAAGTTCTGCATATCTGTATGTTTTCATGATCAACACAGATGACCAAAGTTATGGCAACGATAGATTTCAGGTGCAAATCGTATTATATCAGGTCTTCCGTCAGGTATTTTAAAATTCTTTTAGGGTTAGCTTATGTAGAGTTCTGCTGGATTAAATCCATAAAGCAATATCTAAGGAATTCAATAGTACTCAATTTGTTATATCCAAACTTTGAAATCACTTAGATCCTTGAAAAATGAAATCCACCAGTGCAACCTCGTTTACAAAGTACTATGACGCTATCACTGCTGGCGAGTTGTCGCTGTTTGATACTTCGGACCATAAAATGAGCCGAATGTACATATCTCTCAGTGGACGCAGAATCAACATGGCTTGAACTTACCGTAACCATTTACATGCTACACAAAGTTAATCAGCTCTAGTTGTGTTAAATGCGCCCCTTTGAGAATGACAGCTTAATCTGTGATTATAACACTTGTTAGCGGTGTAATAACAAACAGCCAAATTTGAAACCTCCATGCCAATTAAGAGACCATTTTCGCCGACCGGAAAAGGGATTAAGAAGATTCTGCAAAGGAAAAATTATTTTAATACACATAAGAAAATCGACATTTTTTTAATTATAAAACTAACAGATACACAATTCTAAATACTGATTTGGGAATAACACAAATGCAGGCAACATTATCATGTATAAGTTTCGACGTTTGTGTCCCTCGTCGTATATTTTTTTCTTTTTTGGTAGGCAGATTCTGCTAAAATAGCTAGAACTAGGTATAATAGCCACTTATGGAGTTTGGCTTGTTGTAGATTGCTCGGTCGACCTTCGTCTCCGATTGAATTTTTTTTGTACACGGCTCTTATATATAAAGATATAATCACTTAATCTTTCATGTACCAGCTATATATCTGCAATTTTAATTAAAAAATAAAATTTAAGAAAAATAATAAAAAAGTTTATAAATCTCACTTACATCTTATTGCTCTATCTTGCAGATAATATGGCGTTTTCCCGACTTTACGGAGTTCCAAGATCTAAGTTCTAAGATCTTACATGTAAGTTCTAACTTCTAACTCAAAACGGCCTCAATAGGCTTCCGTACAATGGGGTTCCGGTTATATCTACTAGGACAGTAATAATATTGAATTGCGCTGAAAGCACCCTTATTATATTTCACTCCAGTTCGTTATCATACTTATACATAATATACTTTTATCTTACAATAATTATTTCTAAATACTAAGTATCTCACATGATAATGAATTCTTAACATAACATGTCTTTACATGTGTTTACAATGTTTCAACTTTACTCACTCCATGTTTCCTTAATGTGTTTAATCCGTGTGTCTGACCTGGTTATGAAACACAGCCGTAAAATCATCACCAAAAAAACATTTGATAGCACTTCGTCATGTTTGGTTGAATTTCGCGTCGCACGTGTTTGTATATGAATACTTGTAAGTTAAGATGTAGTAAAATATGTCATAACAATATGTTGGTTAAATGGTAGCCGACCGTAGTATTTTGTACCTATAATGCATTTAAGAAGGTATATTAAATGTTTTGCAGTCAGAAGTGGTTTTCAACATACTATCATTTTTGTCTTTAATTTAAATACAGTTATCGTACCAATGACTAAAGCGGATTTACTTTTGAACTACACTTCCCTTTTTCTATAGATAAGCAATCAAACTAGCTCTAAAAAGACTGATTACTCGTGTGTACCATGAGGCCATAACATAAATGACAATGAAATAACTTTAAAACGATTTGAAACACCATCGATTGATAAGAAGATCAATTTAGTCTAAGTATCTACTCTCGAGTACCAGGATGCATTTTTGTCTTGATTTCGTAAAAAGATGCATGTATATATACAAAGTCTAAGCCTTAAACTGATATCGCAAAGTTTATATTAGCATCTGAAATAGTGCACGTGTAAAACCATCTCTGGTTGATATTGCTAAGGGAAAACAATAGTTACTAAAGAAGTCACTGTTTGCTATACAAAATCAATGGTTTCCTTGGAAGTCGGTGATTACTATATATGGAAAGTTTATGTTTGCTATAAAAGTCACTGGTCGCTATGTGAAATGTCATTTTTTGCTATAGAAGTCCTTGGTTGCTATGGAAATTTACAGTTTGATATGGAAAATCAATGAAGCCACTGGTTGCTATGAAAATCAATGGTTGTTATGAAAAGTAAACGTTTGCTATGGAAATTCAATGGTAGTTAGAGAAGTCAATAGTTATTATGTAAAGTCAAAAGTTGCTTTGGAAAGTAAATGGTTGCTATTAGAATCACTTATTGCTTTTTGAAATCATTGTTTGATATGAAAGTAAAAGATTGCTGTAAAAAGTCATCAATTGCAATGGAAGTGAATGGTTGCAATAAGTCACCTTCACCTTGGAAGTATGGATGCAGGTGTTGTGCATGACACATTGTCTAATTATAGTGACTATTTGTGGCAAGTATTTACAAAGTCGTTCGATCTATGTAAAATACACAAAATATACCCTATAACAGACTATATTAATCTTTGACCTCCAAGTGTGACCTTGATCTTGGAGGTAGGTGACCGGTTGTTGCGCATGACACAGCGTCTCATTATTGTGAATAATTGTGTATTTACAAAATCCTTTCATAAAAAAGTTATGGACCGGACACGACATATACCCTCAAATAGACAATATTGACCTTGAATGAGCAAGTGCGACCTTGACCTTGGAGGTAGGGGTCTGGTTGTTGCGCATGACACATCGTCTTATTATAACAAACATTTGTGTCAAGTTATTTCAGTTTCATTTGATAAATGACAAAGTTATTGACCGGACACGAAAGTGTGACGGACGGACAGACGGATGTCCGTGCCACTTAAATGGACTAAGGGGCCATTTCTTTTGTTATTTTCTTTTGTTTAATAGAGGACCATGTCCTCTTATTCTATTGTTACGGAATGAACTCTATTGTTCTGTTTACAGTGAGATGGCCCCCTATCCCTATTTGGTTTCTCGGACAAACAGACGGACGGACAGAGCCTATTTCTATATCCCCCTTTTTCTTTTCGAAAAGGAGGGGTACAAAAAAGGAAACAACAGTATACTCCGATTGGTGGAAAAATATTGAAGACGTACCAATGTATAAAAGGTTTGGACAAGCACTCATGATAGACAGAAATAAAATATCTGATGTCATACACAATGGTGTAAACTTTGCCAAAATACGAATATGTAGTACAACTGCAAAATTAAAGTCAAGTATAGCTGTTTTTAAAAAAGAGGAAATTTGCCGAATTCAACCTTGATAAAAGGATACCAAAACAATAAAGATGCTAATATTCAAGCAGGCATTTTGACTGATTTACATCAGAAGTACAGCGCCGAGACCCGACACATACACTTTGACTAGGCACGTTTTGTCAATTGAGACCTAAAAGTTGTTTAGGACGGACCGGCTGCTTATGTACAAAACATCAAAATCTATAGAATGGAGGAATTTATTTCAAAACTGTGCTGTCTTTACAGTTAATTTGTACTTTTAATGAAAACAAATACCTCGATGAAAAGTTGTTTGTACGGAAACATCAGTACAAAATCCATTTGTTGACTGTGAATAGTTAGAATCTCTGTTTTGTTGAATGATATTTACAATAAAATTTTTAATGCAAACTCAGAACTGATTTGATGAGAGCAAAAGTTTTCTTGTATATGCATTATCCAGATATTAATATTTTCATGTATGTTTATGTGAATATATCTTTTTAAAAAAATATGAAATGATGTAAAACGTCAATACCTTGAAAAAGTTTCTATCAGTTTATTTCTTTTTCCTTGATATTTGAGGTTCTGATTCTTGGCGACGCATCGGAGGTAGTCTTAAGGGCTGTCACCTTGATTAGGTTATCAAAAAAATGGTTTGTGTTGAATCTGGGTAACTTTCCGTCGGCTTCCGTTCAGAGAAATGCTAAAATTATGATATTCATTGCGTTATAACATCAATTTATTGTCATCCTGCTCTTCTAAAAAAAAGTCCTTTTAGTACATAAAGACACCTTGGTTTAATCAACATGTGACATATTCCTAGTAATCCTTATATTGGTAGAATCTCACAAGTCACAAGATATTTACCATTTGGTCAGATCCTTTAACAGTTAACCACTATAGTTACTGTTGACAATGATTGTGGTTCTAACATAAACAAAACAAATAGTGGTCATCAAAATGTAAATTAGAGGTTAATAAGTTGTAGCAAATACTTTTCAATGTTTTGGACATAATGTTAAAAAATATATAAGTATATAAATTTCTACTTGGATAAATTTGCACTTGACAGCAGCTCTCTATTATGTTTTAAATTCGTACTGAGTAAAAATCTGATAAAGGTGAAAAAAATCCTCATGCTTACTTTTTTCCATATACATGTACATGAATGGTTTTGTTTACTAAGATCATCTTTTCATGTTGAAATTTTAAATTTTGCTTAAGCCAGTGCCAGGGGGCGTGGATGTAAACTTACATTGTCCAATAACGTTCATAAACAGGCTCAATCAAGCCGACTCTGTCAGATTTTCAATTTGTTGTTTAGTGATTATGTGTTTCTCTATTTGATGCTTTCTGATCTGTAAGTTTGGTATGTTTACACTGTGATGCTATTTATAGTCCAAGCGTCATATTAAACATGGCAAATATTTTAATCTTCAAAAAATCTACCGTGATAACGCCAGACTACGATTAAACCTATGATCAAAACAATGGAAAATTGTTTTAAAAATATTGTCCAGTACATAAATGTCAACGTGAAACGTTTTTACAATGTTAAGATAAAGATATGAGAAAAGAACTTTTAGATGGTTGAATTAAAACATTTACGAGTAGCAAATGTTTATAAAACGGAAAATCATTGTGGATTTGTATTTAAAAGGGGTAAGATAAAACTATAACCTTAATAAATAAAAAATATTCTACATCCTTTTTTGTTTATTTTTTAATGTTTTTCCTAAAATATCAAATTGGTTTTCGTTTTCCCTTGTTGATCTTTTTTATCATATTCGAACACAACTTTATTTGTCAGTGATTTTTGTTTTCTCTATATAGCTATTTTGTATTTGTCACGATAATTTAAACATTCTTTATACAGTTAAACAAAACAGATATATTATAAAATTTAGATTAATTCAATGCATATTCCGAAAAATATACATGGTCATACACATGTTTATCTACGGAAAAGACATAATGTAGGTTTAATACCTTATAAGTTTTGAAGTGTATTTATAACCCAAAAGCGTCAGTTATTTCTATTAATATATTGTAAGTAACAAAGTTTGACATTTTCAACACTATTTTCTAATGTGTAATAAGAGGATATGTTTTCGTTTGAGTGAAATATGGAATATATTTTCACTCAACATGATAAAATGCCACATATTTTCACGAGCCGGGAAAAAATTGTTTCGAACCCCCTTGCTTGCTACGCAACCGCAATTGTACAGCGCGCAGTAATATAATTAGTGTCTTGTTTTGCACGCGATATTTAGCGCTGTATTGTGACGTCACGTAAACAACTCTTTAAACGTCTGTACAGCGTTAATGACTGAATTAAAGATATTTATGTTCGGATTGATTTTCTGAATTACATTCTAGATAGTTTTCAAAACAAAATACAACAAAAACACTGGTTTTTGTTGCTGGGTCGTAGGGGGTTGCGTTCATTGAAGGCTGCCTTTCCTTGTTGATCTTGTTTATCATATTTTGCATTTATCAGATTTTTCAAAGAAAGTGGCGAAAGAAGTCCCTTAAAATAAATATGAGTTTTGACTCCGCCAACTTTCATATTTATATTTCATATTTATTTTTAAAAAATATGAAATATATTTGACTGATGAAGCACCATATTTCATAATTGTTGATGCTTACAGTTATTTCTTGCACTATTGCATCTAAGAAAAAATTGCTGGTAATTATACTACAAACATATTTGTTAACAGTTGTTAAATACGCAATGAAGTAAAATTTGCAGCATATATATATACACTCCCATTATCACAGCCAATGTATATTGAACTAATTAACTGTACACATGTAGATTTCAGTTTTAAACCAGAATAACAAGACATATTCTCTTTTTGAGTCTTTCATAGACATAATTTTCTATCTCTTAAGGCAGCGTTTTTTTTCTACCAAATTGGGACGGGTCCTGTACCCATCAAATTGGTTTTTTGACTCATGAAATGGGTCAAATTGGGAATTTTGGTATCGTAAAATGAGACAAATTGCAAAGTTTATGTCGGGGATATAATAGCAGTATCTGCATTCAACTTTCTTAAAATATGTCCATTATGAAATACTATGAAGGTTTGTAATGAATTTATCAATTAATTTGAAGTCTGGCTCATAGTTCTATAAAGAAGAAAATTAGAGGTTTAAACATTTCTGCGGTGTGTAAAAATCTGGAAATAAAAGTGATCCCTCGGAAGCATTAATCACAACAAAATTACATAAAAACTGCAGACTCGGTTTGATTGAGTCCGTACATGAGGGATAATGAATAAGAGCAACA